TCAAAAGTAAACACGTTCAGTTTGGACAAGATTTGCTTGGTTCTTCATTTGAAGCTTCTATTTCACAACACCATTAATTGTCCTTCACATCTGTTCTTGACTTTATAACATTTTCCATCAAGTCAAGGAAAAATTGTTAGGAAAAGACATGGGACATAATTCATTTGTGCTGTTGGAGCACAGCCAATGTTTGGTAAGTCATAAGTAAATAGCAAGTGGAACGTTTTAAATATTTTAAAGGCAAAAGGCTCAAAGTGAGGACACAAGTTTTGGGGTTGAAGGCGAAGTCAAGTTGCAAGACCTTTTTTATTTTGTCAAAGTTTTAAGGCTTCCCATCTTTGACTCAAGTCCATAACAGGTGACTCAACAAAACTTGATGTAATATTTATTGTCAAACCTCTGTCCTTCACCTTTTCACATGGAAAGGAAATAAGTCTTATTAGCTCTCTGCAGGATGTAGTGCTCACTTTTGTCAAAGCGGTGCTGACTCTGGACCCCTGAGAACCCCCCTCCTCTTTCATCAGTGTCAGTTTCAAACTCCACGGCCAAAACAAGCTATCTAATTAATGTCCTTGTTGTTGCCGTTCCTCTCCTCTCATTTGGACCCTCCACTGTTCTCTGCTGCCCCATTACCGAGCCGAAAACACAAACAAAATGCACAGACTTTCTATCTGACAGGAGCTTTGGTGCTGCTGCTGCTGCTGCAGAGAGAAAAATCACGATGACACAGCAGCCTCAGAGAGAGCTGTGATATCTGTTGTTTTATGATACGATGTGGTGTGCTCAACAGAGAAAAACATGAAAAGTGCCTTGAGCAGATGTATAGTGTTTGGGTGAGCATCTGTTTGTCTGAAACAGGCTAGGAGTCTGATGATAGCAAACTCAAATGCTGGGACAAGTTTTAAAGAGATGTGGTTGGATTGGGTTACTGGCACCAACTACTGTACTTTATTAAAAGGTGACTGTTTTACACCTTAGTCTTGACACCTGTGAGGTGAGGTAAACATAAGAAATGTGCTACGAGTGAGCCTTACAAATCTGATATGTTGTTTGTGAACTTCCAAGTATTTGATATGAAAGATGACGTTGGATCACTCTGTGCTTAAAGTTGAGCCAGCAAGACTTTTTTTTGCCACTTTTGTCATATAAATGTATTAGTAGTACCAGTAGTTGACCCAGTGCATGCTTGATATCTAATTTATATTTGTGGTTTTAACATAGTGCATTAATAAAACAGTGGAAAATCAGCTTTAAAAATAACCTTTGAAACACAAAGGTGGACAGACTTGGTTGTTATTGAACACGCATTCTTTACTATTTGCCATGTTTAAAAAATAGAAGTCATTGTATTTAGAAGAGATAACATTCCTGCAAGACAAGCAAACAATTGCATTGTTAATGCAGCCAAACAGTCCCAATCTAATATCGACTCATTTGCAAACAGCTTCTCAGAGCCAATTGAAGACTCTGTTATTCCCTCTAGATCCAGCCTACATTAGTGAGCCTAAGCTAATTATAAGAGAACTTTATAATGAGATTGGGTCATTGTTATTGGATGAAAAAATAGGATGTTTCGCACATTTCATCAAATAATGGATAACTTATTTTGGAATAGTCAATTGAAATGCAGCAGACTAAATGCCCTGGACATTATAATTGGCTATTTCCAATGTATGCATCGTCATTGTTAGCATGTTGGAACGTTGAAGTTAGCATTAAGCTAAAAGGGCTTAACTGCCTACTACTAGCCTATAAGAGATGCTAGAGTAGACTATTAGTCCTATGTTAATACATCTGTTATATTTAAATAAATAAGGATGCATTGGTGTATTTTACATTGGAGGAATTGGACATGGTGCAACCCAACCTCTGAAAATGTCAACTATCATGATGATGTTTCAGGACTCTTTAGACCATGGATTCCCACGGACGCTATAAAAGCGGTTCATGTGATTTGCATAATGATAAAAAGAAATCCCATTTGCACTTCCCCTTAGCTTTACTGTTACTTGTCTGTCAATAAAAACTCTTCCCCTGAGATGCAGCTTGTTGGAAAATGGTATCCTATATTCCACATGCAGTCATTTAAAAGCCTTTAAGCCTCGTCCGCGGACCTCTTCCACATTGTGCATAATATACATAAAGGAAGAGACGGCATTATATAGCTCCCAGGTCTCAATTCATTTCATCAGCATATATTATATTTAAGGGGAAAATTATACAAGTGAGAGGAGCAACAAGAAGGCTAAGCAGGATCAGCCAACAAGGGAATAGTTTCAGACTCTGAGGATACTACAAACTTTACTAAGAGGGAAAAGTAAGGAACGTTGCAAAGTTTTTCTAGGTTTTTTCTTTCTTTCTCTCTTTGCCTCAAGGCTCTTGATGCTTCTTCTCTTTAGTCTCAAACTGAAACTGGTGACTTCTTTTCATGTCCTCCACTGGCTCGAAAAGGCTTTGGCAGTCTCTGGATAGAAAGACTCTTTGATATCGTGTCAGACTCACAGTTGTGGCAGTAAAATCGTAGTGGAAGGAGGATGTCTCTCGGGCCGGACAAATGAATTTCCCCTGGAAGGAAATGCTGTTCAGATCGTGTCTTCAGACTCGATGTAGCAGCACATGTCTGTCAGGCTTTAAAGTCCTGTATCAGAAGAGCTGGAGATAATAAGGTGCGTTCACTATCCTTGCAACAAAGCTATCTGTGATTAAACTCTTGATTTATCCAAACAAAAGACTTAGCCATTTGAGGTTCCATGGAGTGGAATAAAGAGAGTAAAGCAATTATGTGGAGGACAGAGAGTTTCTGCCGTGTGTTGCTTTTAATAGGCCTCGTTTATGGACTCGGGAGAACTCAATAGCAATTACTGGAGAGGTACTGGTTTGAATCTTAAAGGCCCATCGCAGTGTTTCTAGAATGATCACTGTCATGACAGATGATTTGTTTTGTTATGTTAAACCAATAACGGCTCATCTCGACTGACACACCGGTGCAAATGGTTAGCGTAATCATGGTGTCAGGGTCAGCACTTAGACTCCTGTCCGTGACATTTTTAATGTTTTTCCACACTTTGTCCTGGACAGGTTGCAGTGCACTCACTTATAAACGATCAATACAACCAAGCATCCAACAGAAAACTGAAGTGCTATACTGTAAGTTCAGCTATAAAGGTACTTATACTATATTTCAATGTTCTTATACTTTTACATCTAAGGGGAACACTTCCATCTTCTTACGGCCCGTCCACACACAGGCATGAAAAAAATCTTGAAAAATCTTGATGCTGGGCGTGTCTGAAGCTTGGCGATTTTTTGCGATCAACAACCAATCACATGAATCTCCCGCCCCCGACATACAAAGCAATAGCAATGTTAAAACGAAGTAAACTGGATATAAAATCCCCAAACAGGCGAAAACCTACCAGTTTCACCCACTGTCTCTGCCACCTCCCTCCATGCCTGGTTCCTCCGGTTTGTATCCCGGTAAATAGTTCTGGTCGTAAAGAACCGGGTGATTTACTACCGTAATTTCTCGTTTGGAATATGAGGAAATGAACTGCGGTCTGGCTCTCCCAGCTTGCACGCGGTTTGATTGTCTAGCGCTTGTACTGGCGGGATTTGCATAAACGGGATTTGATTGGCTGATGCCAGCTTCGAAAGCATCTGGAGCATCAAAATTGAACATTGCTCAACTTCTGATGCTCACGATGCTTGCAAAGCCATGCTCCGCTCCCCACAATGCAGTTCGGCGAAGATTACAAATCTTCTACATCACCCCATTCAAGTGAATGGGCGAAGCTTTGAAAGATTTGTTTCATGCCTGTGTGTGGACGGGCCGTTACTCCACCACATTTATCAGAATTTAATTTTCAGATCA